TAATATAAAAGAGGCGTCCCCAAGATCTTTCATCTCAAAATTCTTTGATAGAAATCTCTTGGTTTCGTGCAACATGCCTATATCATTAGTGGCAAGCAAGATGTCATCGACATACAGAACCAGAAAAATATACTTACTCCCACTGAACTTGTGATATACACAGTCATCAACAATGTTCATCTCAAAACCGAACGAGATAACTATTTGTTGAAACTTATGATACCATTGACGAGGAGCTTGCTTGAGTCCATAGAGGATTTCCTTAATTTTGCAAACCATATTCTTTGGATCTCCTGATACAAAGTTTTCTGGTTGCACCATATAAATCATCTCATCAATGTCTCCATTGAGAAATGCAGTCTTAACATCCATCTGATGTAACTCAAGATCATAATGAGCAACAAGTGCCATGATTATTCTGAAAGAGTCTTTCGATGAAACCGGAGAGAAAGTCTCTGTATAATCAATGCCTTCCTTTTGAGTATAGCCTTTAGTCACAAGACGTGCCTTATACCTCTCCACATTACCGTTTGCATCCCGTTTGGTTTTAAAAAATCCATTTACAACCAATTGGTTTTGCACCTTCTGGTAATGGGACAAGTTCCCAAACATTATTGTCTTGCATAGACTTGTACTCTTCATTCATGGCATCAATCCACTGTTGAGAGTTAGAACTTTTCATGGCCTGAGAGAAGTTGATTGGATCATCTTCTAACATTCCACTACTTTCCTCATGTTCTTGGAGAAATACAATATAATCATCTGAAATAGCATTTCTCCTTTCTCTCGTGGATCTCCTTAATGGCACTGGTTCTTGAGGTTGTTGAGTTTGTTCTTCTGGAACAGGGAGTTGTTCAACATTATCATCTTGAGGTTTTGGATTTACTTCTTGAGCAACAACAGGTATAGGAACCTGAATATTGTCAAAAGTAACTGTATGGATTGGATCTGAAGCCAATTCCTCCTCAAAACTAATGTCTCTAACCTTATTTTTCCCTCCAAACTCAACATCCTCAAAGAATGTTGTTGTTCCCATCTCAAAAATATTTTTTAGTGTGGGATCATAAAACTTATAGCCCCTAAAGCATTCAGAGTACCCAATAAAGTAGCTGCTAACTGTTTTGGAGTCCAATTTCTTTTCATTCGGCCTATAAGGCCTTGCCTCAGCTGGATATCCCCAAATATGTAAATGCTTTAAACTAGGCTTTCGACCAGTCCAAAGCTCATAAGGTGTTTTAGCAACTGCTTTACTTGGTACTCTATTCAGAATGTAAGCTGCTGTCTTAAGTGCTTCTCCCCAGAGTGACTCTGGTAAAGAAGAATGAGCAATCATACTTCTTACAATATCCTTAAGAGTCCTGTTTCGTCTTTCAGCTACACCATTCATGCTAGGTGAACCCGGCATGGTGTACTATGGGATAATACCGCATTCCTCTAGGTATCTAGCAAATGGTCCTGGACGTTGTTCACCTGAACCATCATATCTGTTGTAGTACTCACCACCACGATCAGATCTAACGGTTTTAATTCTTTTGTTGAGTTGATTCTCAACTTCAGCTTTATAGGCTTTGAACATGTCCAGAGACTCAGATTTTTCATGAATAAGATATAGGTGCCCATAACGTGAGTAATCGTCTATGAATGATATAAAATATTGTTGACCATTCCAGGATTCCGTAGGGAATGGCCCACAAATATCCGTATGTATCAATTCTAAGACATCCGAAGATCTGTTGGCACCTAATCTCTTCACTTTGGTCTGTTTTCCCTTGATAAATTCAACACATACGTTGAAGTCCGAAAAATCAAGGGAATCTAAAATACCATCAGACACAAGACGCTCAACTCTACCTTTTGAGATATGACCCAATCGCTTATGCCATAATGTTGCCGAATTTTCCTTATTTAATTTACGCTTAGTACCACATGATTCCGCATGCAAAGTTTCATTATAAGAAGTAATTGTATCAAGCAAATATAGGTTGTCATAAGTACTCAAATAATCGGTTCCCACAATATTTGAATTAAAAGATAAACTGAATTGATTATTTCCAAATGAACAAGAATAACCTGATTTGTCCAATACAGAAACTGAAATCAAATTCCGTCTAAAAGACGGTACTACAAAAGTATCTTTCAAATCCAAATAAGAACCAGTTCCTAACAACAACCTAAAGTGCCCAATTGCTTCCACATCTACCGATTGTCCGTCGCCCACAAAGATGTGTCTTTCAACATCACTTGGCTTTCGGTAGCTCAGGCAACCCTGCATAGAAACACTTATGTGAGTAGTAGCACCAGAGTCTAACCACCAAGTGTTTCTAGGTACTGAAGCTAAATTAACCTCAGAACAGACCAAAGCAAGGAACGTACCCTTATTATCACGCCAGGCGTGATATTTTGTACAGTCCTTCTTTACATGTCCAGGCTTCTTACAGAAGAAACAACCCTGATTATCCTTATGTTGTTTCTTCTCAACTGGACCCTTAGCAGCTTCCTTATCATTCTTCCTTTTCTTGCCCTTATCCTTAGAGGCATAGGCCAAATGAGCACTTTCTGTCTTATCTTGCTTCAACCTGTCTTCTTCTTGCACACAGTATGAAATGAGCTCATTTAGAGTCCATTTCTCCTTTTGACAGTTATAACTGACCTTAAATTGGTTAAACTGTGCAGGAAGAGACAACAAAACCAGATGCACTAATAACTCGTCACAAAGATCGAGTTTAAGTGCCTTAAGCTTTGAAGCAATATGAGACATTTCCATAATGTACTCCCTGATATTTCCTTTGCCCTTATACTTCATTGAAATCAAGCGAGCTAAAAGCGTGCTTGTTTCTACCTTATCGTTTTTCGCAAAACGCTTCTCAATTTCGGCAAGGAAATCTTTAGCCTTAGTAATCCCTTCGGATTCTATGCCCCTGAAGGCTTCCGGAACGCCACGCTTAATGATCATAAGACTCATGCGATTTGAACGCTCCCACTTCTCATGCTCCTTCTTTGCATCAGAGTGATTTCCGCATTGAGAGGTTGGGGTTGTTCAGTTCTTAATGCATAGTCAAGATCCATGCAGCCAAGAACAATTAATATGTTCTCTTTCCAAACCTTGAAGTTTGTCCCATGTAGCATGGGAATTGAGTTGATGTTAGCAGGAATTGTTTCAGCAGATGCATTAGCTAAAATAAAACAAAAATGCTCACATCAATAACTATAATCAATAAAATTCAAATAATGACAATCCCCATCCAAGATATCGGGCACAATATTAATATCAAGTCTTTGGACAGTAATATTAACTTGTAAGTGATACCTTGTTGCAATGATCAAACATTGACAATAACTCATGTCAAATAATGAAACTATCTTTGGATCGATTCATTATTCACATGTAAACCTTATAATTGTCACACGCTTATCATCGCAGATGTGTATACAGTCTAAATAAATATTAACATTCCTTTGGGCCGATTAAATATTTACACGAAAGCATACACACAAACATCTCACATTCCTCATGAACAATCTACACAAGAGAGGTTACTTTGGCAACTTCTTATTTCAATTAATCAATTGGAGTGAGAGACAACCTTAATTCCTTAGTGTCATAATATTTGAATTAAATAATTGATTAAAAACCAAATTAGATTTAAATTAAAAGGTTTTAATTTAAATCAACTAAATTTCCAAAAAACTTAATTGGGGTCTCACAGCTTAATTAGGGCCCATAACTTAATTGAATAAATTAAGTATACCAAAGTGGACCCATGAAAAGCTGAGGCTTAACCATAGTGAACACGAAGTTCGCTTGACTTTGAACGCGATGTTCGTTTGAAGCTTACTGCTTCGCCAAAATTTGAGGTAACCCCCTCCTTAATGTTCGCCACGTTTTCACGCACGAACCCTTAGGGTTTCACACTGAAATCGCCGCCATTAAATCAAAAACAGATCTAGAATCGAAAAAATGAGTTTTCTTGATCCAGATCTAAAAAAAAACCGCCAAAAAAACCAAAAAAATCCAAAAAGTTACTGTACTGTTCATCCGAAAAACGCGAAGTTCATTTGAAGCTTACCGCTTCGCCAAAATTTGAGGTAACCACCTCCTTAATGTTCGCCACGTTTTTACGCACGAACCCTTAGGGTTTCAAACTGAAACCGCCGCCATTAAATCAAAAAACAGATCTGGAATCGAAAAAATGAGTTTTCTTGATCCAGATCCAAGAAAAAAAACCGCCGAAAAAACCAAAAAATTCCAAAAAAGTCACTGTTCACCGGCGATTTTTCAGTTACTGTTCATCCGAAAATTTTTTGTTACTGTTCATCCGAATAAAAAACTTTACTGTTCATCCGAAAAACAAAACTGAATCTTTAACCAGAGATTTAAGATTAGAAAACCCAATAAAACTTAAATCCCTAAGAATTAATCAAGGTGTCTCTGATACCACTTGTTAGATCTAAATCAAAACTTGAGATCTAAAACCATATAACCATGATTAATTTAAAGAGATTAACAAGAATCATAAATGAGCGGAAGCTTATACCTGAATCCATAGAAGAAAACTTGATTTGGGTTTTTGATGATCTTCTAACCTTAGGGTTCCTCTAAATCCGAATTTCTCTTTCTAGATGGGGGTGAAGAGAATTAGAGAATGTAACCCTAGGTTAGGGACTATAACCCTTATTTATAGATGTTGTACTTTTGTAATTTAGCCCCTCAATAAATCACAATTACAACCTAGTATCTGCACATATAACCCCATGATTATATTTAAATACCCATTAACCCAACTTAATTGATCACTTTAGTGGGTTATCATGAAAGATAGCAATACACATTGATTAATCATATGTGCCCACAAATAGATTTATTAGATTAAATCCAACATAATTTTCCCATTTTTCCTGATTTTTTTATGGGGAAAATGACACGTTGAATTTAATTTTGAACGGAATAGATATCTCTTGTTGGATGTGGACTGGAGATCGCCAAACGACGAAGATGAGGATAAGGTACCTTCAATCGGTCCTGAACCAAGATGTCTGTTACTTCGACACCGAGGTTCGAACATCCAACGTCGTTTACACCATCAATGCTGACGCCGTCATCGTCCATGACGCCATAAGCGAGAAGGTATTTACTTAGCATCAATTTCTTGGTATTTTTGTTCCCCTCCCCTTTCCCCTTTTGGGGGGCAATGCGATTGATTGTTGTGATTGTTTTTGGTTACCAGTTGGGGAATTTTATTCACTATATGGGAACTCTGGTTTCGTCGTTGGATTCACGGCAGTGTGACAGCTCGCTCTCGTCACACTCTCCGTGGTGCTCATCGCCGTCATCGACGGCATTCACACTACTACGATGGCCAAGCTTTCTTCCAAGAGTCGTGACGCTCTCTCTCGAGCCATCAACATAGCGGAGAAAGTCCGAATCAAAATATTTTGTTTGTTTGGAGATAAGCGCTGTGATCAGTATCTTGACCACGAAGTTCACTTATTCACCGCAGACGAATCATCGAAAGGTTTATTTTTTTTGGATTCTCTATTTTTTTATTGAAAATTTTAGGGTTTTTTTTTGGAGATTGTAAAGTTTTGTTATTGTGTGTAGGGTGGATTATTAGGGCTTGCTGCAGTGACAGTTGGATTGGCAACAACAGCTCCCCAACATATTGATGTAAGAATTTGAGCAGCATATTTGTTTCTTTATTTCTACTGTGCTATGAAATTATAAAGAAATGAAACGATTGAGGATATAAAATTGAAGTCAAATCCTAAATATTATGTGAATCGACACACTGTAAATAAATAAATACATGAAACTTAGATGAATTCTTAAGAAAAACAGCAAGAAATGGGATAAAATGAAATGAAATAAATTATCTGATGGCGTGTTATTTATTATTTGATAGGTTATTTATTATTGTTGTGTTGTGTCTCAGTGATTGTCCGTCGTTGAATGAGATTCTTCCCGAGTCGATATTCATAACTATCATTAAGATGGAGTTTGCCAATCATAGAGTTCATGGTGGTGAATAGGTATATATGATGTGACATATATGTAGTTATTATGACTTTTTGGAATATATATACTCTTATGTTGAGTGACAATATTTTCAGGTTAGAGGAGGTACTCCCATAGGGAGCAACAATCTGATACGACGTTCTAATGCAGACGACGCTGATAACAGGGATGCCGACAACGACGATGACGAGGAGTAAGACTTGTTCTTATATTTATGTAGTTTTTAATTGTGTGAAGATATATTATGACTTTCGAATTTTACCTATATGTAATATATTTGTGATTTTATTGTGTAGTGAATGAATATTATTTGATTGTGATTATATGATTGTATTATGATTGTGTAATGTATTATGATTGTGATTATATGATGAATATTATTTTATTGTGAAAACATATTATTTTATTGCGTAATGTATTATGATTGTGATTATATGATGAGTATTGTTTGATATTGTGGATTGACGGATGAAATTGGATGAGTATTCATTTGGAATGTGAATGTATATCATGGTTGATTTTATGATATAATGTTAAATATTATCATTGGATTGATGTCGATACATGCTATATGTGTATTCTCGTATGGGAGGTTGTTCGTTGGAAAAATTGCTTTCTTCATTGATTCCATCGATTACAAAGATCCGGTCTTTTTATAAGATCCGGTTACAACGAGATCAAAAAAGAAATAAAAATTACAACTTTCCTTGAACGAAACGCGAGCTCCTGTTTTGCGGTCACTCGCTTTTGTGGGTACTTTGCCAACGCCGGGGTTAATCCGTTGACTACCGCGCGATCTAGATCCGGTCGGATCTACACGATTTGACAGGTGTTATCTCACTAAGGAAATAACAGCCGGGGGGTACTATTTCACCAAGGAAATAATAGCCTTTAGTTCTCGGGATCAAAGGCCAAGCTTTGATCCGGAGTATTACTTCGTGTAGATCTCAGATCATGGGGTGGCTCGGCCATGGCCAAGCCACCTCTTGGTGGCTCGGCTTTGGCCGAGCCACCTGGGTGGTTTGGCTTTGGCCGAGTCGCCCGGGTGTAGCGCCGTTGTGTCCGTTGTCCGGTTCTGCGGTTTATTTGAGCTTCGTCGCTGTTCTGAACTCTGATTTGGCAGTCCGGATCCCGATATGGCAGTAAACCCGCTTCGGTGTTCGAGTTCGAATCCGTTCTACAGTTGGATGACTCGTTGATTCACCGAACCGTTAGCTTGATTCTGCATGCGAGTGGATCTATTCCATTGTTTGCGTGCGATTCGTTAGCCTCGTCGCCTCGTTAATACACTTGACAGCGTGTCACTTGGCTTCGGTATTGCGGACTAACGCTCGCGTTTAGATACGTCACCCGATGGTTTGTTGATTTGTTGAATCATCGTACCGAGCTGTGTTCAGGGACCTATAGGCAGTTTTATACGCCTATAGATACCCCCTCCAAAGTATTTTAGCCTCGTTCTTTTATAGAAGAGTCTGGAATGCTTTGGATATGATTGCCCCAACCTTCAATTGGTATGACGGGACTTTGGAATGGCTTCTATTCTTGATTCCTTCAATCCTTCAGGCTATTCGGTGCTTTGTCGAATGTCTGTAAGGGTTCCGGTGCTACATTTATTGTCTGACCGTTGTCGGAATTTTGAATCTTGAAGTCGATCCCTGATTTTCTGATCTTTAGCTCGTGTTTGTTGGTTCAATATAGAACTGACCATCGATTGTTGGCGTTGAGTTCTTATTTGCGACGCGTTGTCCGGCGTGGTGTTGTTGAGTTATCCTTAAGAATATTTTCTAGAAAAAATAATCTCTAGGAACTTCTCAACCAAAAATAGGGAATAGTTTATACTCGTATACCTTTTTGGAGTAATTCTCATGTTCGAATGAGCTGAACCGGCCTAATAATGAGCTGAACCGACCTGATATTGACCCAAAAAAAACAGTAATTAGGCTCAAAAAATCTTCCGACCCTTCCGAATGTATGGGAGAGGCAAGCATAAACAAAGGATTGAACCCTCGGTCGATTTGAAGTTGTTTCGTTGCTCGATTCAGCTTCAATTTGAATTCTGGTTCAAATCTGGTTCAAACTGGTTCAACCTGGTTCAGGACTGGTTCAACCTGGTTCAAAGCTGATTCAGGGCTGGTTCAGACTGGTTCATCCTGGTCTGGTCTGGTTCACTCTGGTTTGGCCTGGTTCAGCCTGGTTTGGCCTGGTTCAGCCTCTTTTGAACTGATTTGGACTGGTCTGGTCTGGTTCAACCTGATCCGGTCTGGTTCAAGTCTGGTTCACCTATAAAAGCCTCTTTTTTCTCCTCCTCTAGCCCCCCCTTGACTTTTTCTTTGATTTTCTCTTCCTTCGAGCATCCTTTCTCCCTCAAATCTTAACAATTGTCTTAGATTTAGTCTTCCTTTGGATCTTAGACTGAGAAATCCCTTAGAAATCTTCATATAAAAATTTCTCTCAGGCCCCTCGAGCACGTGGTTCGAGCCTCTTTCAAGATCTGATTTTTTTATTGGATCCACGAGCTTTTCCTCAAGTAAATCCTCCATAATTTTAGTATATTTCATGCTTAATTCAATTTATGAACTTGTGGGATTGCATGTGAGGGTTAGGACTATGATTTGGCGCCTCGAGCTCGTCTTTCAGGGGGGTAGAATTGCAATAAAAAGGGGAATTTTTCTGGATCTGATCCCCTAATTTATTTTGCAGATCATTATGTCGCGTGTCCCGAGAGGTCGCTCCCCTGCTGCACCGGCTGATGGCGTGCTTCCCTCGTATGCTGGTGAGCTATTTTTGGCATATTTAGAAATTTACAAATTAGTCATCTTTTTCCTGGAAATTTGCAAATTAGTCCTTTTTTTCCCACGTTGTTCTCCTTGGTGAGGCAATCGGGAAGAGCATTGATTCTGAGTTCAATTTCCTTTTATAACTGGAATTAACAAACGTTTAATTGCTTGTTTTCAGTGGAGTATCCTTCCGGAGCATTCTCATCTCATGCAGTGTACGGGCGTCGTGGCGAGTATTATTCGACTTCCGACGATTTTTCCCCTATTCCAGTTACTCCTCAGTTTGCTTCGGGCACGTCGACAGAGGTTGTCCAAGTGGTGAAGGAATGTGGACATCGATCTCTTCGACAGTTGATTACAGATGCACCTTTCGTGAAGGATGCCAGTTCTATTCAGCCTCTCAGGAAGACCGACTTTTTATTTGGCGACTCTGCCAAAGATCCGGATGCAGTGTTTATTGACACCGAGCAGTGGCTTCATAAAACTGGCGGTGGTTTCATATATTTGCCGAAGATTCCTCGGCATCGTTCGTTGACTGAGCTCAGACGTCAGGCTGTGACACGGGAGATGTCGTGGCGCTTGACGGAGGAGCATTTCGAGCAGGAATCATATCACTGGATTGCATCCTGGAGTATTGGGGCTGGATGCACCGCCGCGTAACGACCTTCTCGCCTCTGCTTCTACTTTGAAGAATCACCTTGCTGACTTAGGACGGGAGATGCCTGCGACGCGCCACAGATTTTACGGCTGGGTCCATTCTTTAGACAAGCTTTGGTGGACTCGTATGACGAAGTACGTCTTAAGCCGATGGAGCGAGGAGTTGCACGCTTGTGGTTTATATGCATCCGTTCGTGTCACCATGTATGGCTTGCCTGTCAGCGCGAAGCATTTTTTCGCTTTGTGCGAACTTTATAACCCAGATTCGAACACTTTTCTGACCCGGCAAGGGGAGTTGGGCTTGGCTCTCCATGAGATGCACAGGATTTCTGGTTTGCCCATGGGACAGATGCTATATCAGGAATATTTTCCCTCCAACCAAGTGTTATTTGTTCAGAAATCTAGAGAGCAATTCTGGCGAGGCTATTTGTGAGCTGGCACCACTCACTCCTTCGGGGGTGAATAATTTATTAAAGAAGATTGACGCTCATTCCTATACCATTAGCAGTCCTGAGAGTGGCTTTCCTGCAGGGACCAAGTTTAAATCATTCTTATGGCATGCGACCGCACCGATTCGACCGATGACCCTTCTTGCCGGTTACCTCGCTATCTGGTTAAAGAAATGCGTGGTCCCGTATCAGTCCGGTGATGCTTTGCCATTGGAAGTGCTCTACCCAGTGGTTCAGCTTGCCTACAAAAAGGAACTTTCGCTTCTTCTGGTGATGGTGGCTAACATTCATCGAGGGCTTCGACAGATTTCTAGTGCTTTTACACGGAAGGAAAGTGAATCGCCGGCTCAGATTCCTACTATTAAGGTGGAGCTTCCGTACACTTATTTGATGGCTTGGTTCGTCCTTCATCGTTCTGATATGATGTCGGTACCGAACGCCACAGACCCCTCCGTTCCCCTACTACAGTTGCTTGAGAATGGCAAGTGGGAGGGGTGAGGATTCCCTGACGTCAGACAGCAGCTACAGGTCCATAAGTGTTGGGCGTTTTCCACTTGCTTTCCGCAGTTCTCCGGCCGATACGGCGAGTGTCTGATTGATGAGGAGAGGCCGAGGGAGTATCGAACTCATTTAGACATCGGCTGCTTTAACTGGCTGGTGAACATTAGGTCGGGTTATCTGAGTTTCCAGGTGAGGAATCAGTGTTTCATAGAGCCATACCTACCCTGCCAATTCGCTCGCCAGTTTGGCTATGATCAGCTTTATGTCGGGAATCCACGTCAGCAGCTTCGGACTCACGGCGGTTTGGTGGACGGTCTTCGTGCATGGTTGTGGACCGTGACGGGTTGTACTGATGCTAAGTTCAGTCTCCCGAGTTCTGAGCGGCAGTTGAACCTCACCTTCTTAAGCTGCAAGTGGTTGTTAGCAGCTAATAAAACTGTCCCAGTGAAGCCGATTGTAGAGCTAGAGGCTGAGGAGGCTTCTCAGGCTGATTCTCGTATGATTTGGGAAAATGCTCGGTCACAGAGGACACGGAATAAGATTCGTCGGATTGATGAAGAGGGAAAGAAAGTCTTCCATTCTACAGATGAGTCTTCAGGCGGAAACCCTGAAGATTATGAGAACTGTTCCGAGCGAGGTTAGTTACTTACTCATTCCTTTTATCTTCCAGAATATGAGAACTGTTCCGAGCGAGGTTAGTTACTTACTCATTCCTTTTATCTTCCAGAATTATTAATCTTGACAATTGTTTGATGTTTCAGGGACCGCAGCTGACAAAGATGAAGAATTCCATCCTTTTTCCTAGGCGAGGCCTTCGACTGTTGTCCCTGCTGCTAGGCGGAAGAGATTAGCCTGTAAGCCGCGTGCAGCTTCGCGAGCATCTGATATGGATTTGGCTGGTGACGATGCTGCTAGCGACGGAGGTAACCT